AATCTTACTAAACTGGAGTTTAATACTAGGAAAAAGAGTGCATGTGCAAATGTAAATTCAGCTGATCTTCAAGGGGATACAGCTTTTGCAATCCTATTCTTATTTCTATAACTGCTGGTGATTAAAGCCTAGACCATCGCAGCTACTGCCAATAAAAGAAAAATCTGAGCTCAAGTTATGTCTCAAACAGAGATAAAAATTAAAACAAAGTGCTAATGTCTGGTGGTCAACATCTATACAAGAATCAGGAATACAGCTGGAGAATTTTTTTCCAAGTGAAGAAAGGACTTCCATCAGAGGAGCACAAAAAAGTGCAGCTTCATGTCAGTCAAAATTAATTGCGAATTTGTCTAGAGCTCAGTGAAAAAGGTTCTGCAGATTTGCTTGAAAGAAAAAACATATGATTACATTCTTTAAATATTTCTGGTTTTGTTTAAAACCCAAGCTAAATATCTTGATAATGAAGCAGGAAAAAGACATCCAAAATAAACTAGATTGTTTAGATACTTTTGAAGGAGAGCAGATAGGAAAGAGGAACCCTTTTCAATTGCTTTCGTTTTTAGATCATAACTTGTACCCGTATAAAGTACCAAATTGCTGCAGGTTGTACCACTTTGCCATTTATCTCAATTTCTGACTGTTCTATACAGTGATATATACACAGCTATTTATTATCTTAGCAGACTTTGACCCAGAAATTTCTACAGGAGATTTTACCTGATAGCTGCAGACTGCATTTGATCTAGTGCCTACCACATAGTCATTTCAGTAACAATATGTGAGAGCAAAAATATACAAAGTTCTTATAACTAGGCATCATAAAACATTTCCAATTGTTAGAGTTGTAGCTTTTGAGCTATGGCCAAAAAATGTGAAAGACTCACCCTGCAGAGCATCCACCATCATATCTTCCAGTGACTGATCAGGGAAAGGACTGATTTTTCTTTATCCTGTTACTAAGTGCAGCCCTACATTTGCTCGCTTTTACTAGAAAGAGTGAAGAGGGTGAGACACAACCTATCTACCTCATTTATGACCGTCACGTCACAAGTTCACTGGTTTCTTAGTCTTCTCAAGACTGTTCCCTTGTATACCTGAGCAGACTTAGTACCACTTGGTCCATGGGGGTTCATCTTAAATTAAGAAATGCTTAAGCTTTTACTACTTACAGAGAACTGCAGCCATTGCAATCATGTTTGTATCTGCAGTTCTTACTGCGTTCCTAGCAACATCTGGAAAGGTACAAGGAGTGGCACCTCATTTCTTGTTTTGGTTATGAGTCATCAGCTCTCACCTTAAACAGCAAGGCGAGGTCTCCCCATCTAAGAAAAAATTGCTCTGCTCTAGAAAGAGAAGCAACCAAGCATGGAGAGGCTTATGAGGAGTTTAAATAATCTCCATATTAATGAAGCCAAAGCCCCTAGAGCAGGTGATGTTTTCCTTGCCTACAGTGAGCGTGAAGCTTGCTGAAAAAGGCAGGAACTCTGCCAGCTCAGAAAGGCCACCTAGACCATGCACGTGACTGCATCCCCGCGTGTAGCATCTCAGGGATCAGAAGAGTTCCTATTTTAGCCATATTCTTTCTGAAAAATTAAGACTTCTGCTTCTCTCTCCTACCACCTAAATTGTAGATAATTACAGCAGTTACTTCTACAGCTACTAAATCTCAGATTTCTGGATACAAATTACCACTGCACTGAAGCAGAAAGTATACTTTTGTTCTGCTGTACAAGAGCCCTATGGGATCTAGTGCTTGTATGCAGCAGCAGGATGGAGACACCACACCAGCTTCTCTACAGCACAAGCCTACACTGAGCTGTTAGGGAGTCAGGAAGCAAAGCCGATTTATACCATCTGAGGAGCTGACCCTGAAGGTGGAGTAAATGGGCTTGATTTAGCAATCCCCAACATCCTCACACTCCAACAGTATTAATGACCAATTAGGAGGCACTTTGTTTCCATACCACAGCAGCAGTGGCTGTAGCCCTCCCTTGAAAAGGCACAGAAGGGCAGAGGGCAACAACAGAGCAGGAAGATGAAAAAATAAGGTGGAGAGAAACCAGGGACTTTTAGGAACTTAACTGCAAATCTTGTAACAAAATGCAATTGGACAGAGGGGACTTGGTTTCAGATGTAAAATAAGCTAAATAGGTGAAGGAGTTCTCTTTAAACTGTCATCGTTAATTTAAGCCAAACTTAATTAAAAAAATAAACTGAAACAGCTGGATGTAGGAAGTGGCTGACTGACCTCAGCGCTGGGGCCGTTTTCTTTTTCTTCTTTCAAACCATTGTTCATCAGCTTCCACTTAAAGCAAACCAGAACCGTCAGGCTAACCACAATCAAAACCATAGGGGTTGCTTGCATCTAATATTTCTGTCTGTATTATTTTGACATGCATTAAGAGAAAGGGTATCATTTGAAAATTTCCCTTGCACACATGCATGTTGCCATAGCACCAGTGAAATAATTACAACCTGTAATGCATCTTCCATCCCAAATGGTCCTTACTGTTTATGTGTTTACGGCAATGGAAAACCCAGTTTCTATTCTCCATTCTACATAAACTTCTGAATAAAAGCAGAAACACTGCTTCACGCCTGCCCCTTATCCTATCTGCCCTTTGTCATGTTGGGACAAATAGTAAACTGTTTGGGGCAGGTTGTATGTTTTCATAATTTTTACCCCTATTTTTCTACCTGAGCCATGCAGGTTAAAAAACAAGCAGCACGAATATGTGCTAACAACTGAAATGCAGCCTACTTCAGCTCCAGATGGAAAACAGTGCACAATACCTTTGGAAGGTAAGGAAAGAGCGTCATACAAAGTACATGATCTACCTGGGGTAAGCCAGATGTTGGGAATTTGATAAACCTGTTGCAAAAACGTTACGGTCATAATGTCGCTTCTGAAAGCCCAGCCTAATGACGAGCTCATTCGTGTGCAGCTATCGTAGTGGAGCCCTCTCAGAAGGTAAGGGACTACTTAAGGTTCACCTACTATTGATTTTCTGTTGTAGGCTGTCCAAGAGGACATCTGTTTCTATTTGAAAATACTACAGTGTTATTGAAACTCATCAATTCTGCAGTGGGAGGAGATTACCAACATACAGCTCACTCCTGTACACTTCAAATACAGATCAAGTGGTAGTTTCTGAAAGAAGTTATTCCACAAGTAACCAAATACCCTTTCAGTTTACCAGTTTCTTTCTTAGCTGATAGTTATCTGTGCCCTAAAGCACATCCTTTTTACCTCTGTGGGACTTACTAATACACCTAAAGTTAATAATATGCTTAAGATCCACTTTTTAGGTATCTAAAAGGGTATAGGTATCTATAATGTTAATAAGCATCCTACCTTCATAGTGCTTGTCCTAGCTTAGTTGAATCAGGCATCAGAAAGTATGTTTTACCATAAGGAAAACAAAAACTGAAGTGAAGGCCATGCAGATAGGATATGCATGAGAAAAAAAAAAAAACTACCACACACAAACAGGAGGATGGACATAAATTCTGTGGTAGAGAGAAACCTGAAGACTTATTTGTCACAACAACCAAATGGTGGCCACATCACCGCTCCCTGTACAGAGGGTGGAACACTGTCATGTATAGAGATGCCATATACAGACAATAGGTTACAACTTTTTGCAGTATCTTATTGCCATGCTTTTGGCATTTCCAGGGACAATTCATATCCAATATCCAAATTTGCAAAAATTTGAATTCATCTAAAAGACGTTTATTTCCTTATGTCTAGATTGCCAGTAGTCCTGAAGCAAAGCAAAAAGAGTTCCTGACAGTTTTGTATGAATTCTCTATCCCTTTTAAATTAGTCTAGTTAATGCATTTTTATCTCAGTGACACTCGTCCTCCCAGCCCACTGTCATGAGCTACCAGAGTTGTCTAATAGCTTTGAAAAACTACTCTCATGTCTGGATCATTTCACACATTTAAAAGGATCATCCATCAATTTAGAAATAAAAAAATAATAAAACCCATCAAAGTGGAACCCATGATAGTTCTATCTATAGCAAGGAACTGGTGATCTACCCATCCACAATGTTATGTCGCCAACTGCCTACACGA